AAAAGGGGAATGCTTCATGTACAAAAAAGGGGGTAGTTGAAGAGAAACAAGACGAATGAAAGGGGAAGGGGAGAAGGGATGGGGTAAACAGGGGCGGGAAAAAAAATAAAAATTTTCTACTAATATCAGGGGGCCATTTTTATAAATGGAAGGATTGCGGGGATCATGAGAGCGTACATAGTACGGGAGGCAATGGGGGAACAAGGCGATCGGATAAGGTGGAACGTTCGCTTTTTTCATAGAGGCTTTTGACAGGGGAAAAGCGAAAAGCACCAAGGCCCAAAAAATAATCCTTGGTGAAATGGGGTTAAGGCTAAGAGAGTAGCAGGAGATGCCCTGAATAGATTGGGCACCATAATCAAGTTTCGATAAAAAAAGGGGGGAATGTAGTCGAAGGAGGGTTTTGACGATCAGCTCCCCCCGAAAGATGAGCAAGGGTTTTAAGAAGGTTCAGCCGGCGTGACAAGTTGCCTTCCCGAGAGGGGAATGGGGTTTCCGGGGGAAAACCTTTCGTCAAAAAGGAGCCCAGAAACTTGACTGTATCACGTTAGGGAAACGGGGCCATAGAGGTTTCAAAGGAATTTATCGGAGAGACAAGCGCTATGAAAGTGATTTGGTGGGTTTTAGTGCTGGAAAAATTTTAAAACCCCGTGGGTGGGCCCAAATTTTGGGAAAAACCGGGCGACTGGGGTTGGGGAGAAACTGTAAGGAGGTGACATCAGTGCCTGCACAGGCAATAGCGAAGTCATCAACATAGAGTTTATGACCAAAAAATTTTGGGAAACTAAGGGCCCAAACTTAAAAGCAAGGAGAAAAAGGTTGTTTCTCAGAACACCTCCCTGGGGGGGCAAAAATCTTTAGCTTGGATAAAATGGGGAGGGCACATTATTAACCGAACACGGAAAAAGCCCGTCAGTTAAAAAGTCTTTTAAAGGGAAAGGGTGGTAAATTGCCCGAAGGCCTAAGGAGTGGGGTTTGGGGCCCTTTAAAAAAAATTAAAAACCCCCAAATTGTGCATAAGCCCTTTTCTAGGTCAAAAAAATGGCAATAACTGAAATGGTTATTCGCAAAAGGGATTACAAATACGTATCCAAACGTTTTGTAAGGGGGCTATGTAGGGAAAAACCCCTTCCCAAAGCCATATTGACGAAATGGAGAACGTTGTGAGTCTCTAAATACCCCCTAAACATCCTATTTACTAGGCGTTCCATTACTTTGCAAAAATGCACTGGTTTAAAAGCAAGGGGAAAGGTATTTGGGGGTTTAAAGTCCACGTAGGCCTGGTTTGCGGAAAGGGAGGGAAAAATTTGGGGGATTTCCCCATGTGGAAAAAACTCCTTGTGACCAAAAAAAGAAATTGGGAAAGGTGTAATAGGGCTGCAAAAGGGGTGGGTGATGTAAATGTTGTTAAACAAAGAATATAATTGTCGGGGCGGGCCCCCTGCCATGATCGACAAGCTGAGAGGTTGCCTCCTTTTTTGAAGTGTAAAAAAGGCCCCATTATAATGTTCTTCTCTGAGGAAAGAAAAGTTCAAGGGTTTCTAACTTCTTGGGAGATTTTGGGAAAGAAATTTAGGGGCATGATGGATTTCCCCGGGGAAATACGGAAAAGGGTATTGCCCAAATTTTATTGGCAACATTTTTAGTTGGGGTTTTCTATATCAACCCCCGGGAAACCCCCCAAAAAGGAGCCGGGTCAAGGGGAATAATTTTTCCACTCAGTTTGGGGGTTTTAAATGCACTAAAAGAGGAAAACGAGGTGATGGTGGAGACATAACTCGCCACCCCCTGCGTTTAGCCTTTACGGATGACACGGCGAGCGATCGCCCTTCTGTTTAAAATCAAGGAGTCGCTCTGTGGTTTTATTGTAACCGGTACCTGCCCCCCTGCAGCGCGTTTCAAACGTTTTGGACAAACACAAGCAGGAGCCAACCCAAAGGGACGCATTTCTGAGAAAAGTCTGCCCGAAATTTGGGGTATTTGAATGAGAAGGCCCGCGGGGAAAACGGAGGACAGAAAGGGGTAAAAGCCCATCGTTTGGGGGGACGAAGAAGGAAACCCCTTTTTAAAACCCGTTATTGTGAGTAAAAGTTCCAATTTGCCCCCATTAAATTGCCCCGCGTGGGGGCGAAGGGGGTGGCGAATATTTAAAGGGGGAAATAAAAATGATTGGGGAAAAAAAAACCTGTCATGGTTTAAATCCGGGGAAAAAAAAGAAGAACAGGGCCCAAATGAAGGGCTTTAAAGCGGGGGAGGAAGAGCAGATGAGGATTTGATGCAAGAGAGAGTATTTAGTCCGGGGGAACAAAATGGGGGGGTGAGTACCTGTAAATTTTAAAAAATGGAGGGGGGGGGTGGCAAGAAAAGCCTCTTTAATTTAATTCCCCGGGAAACAAAAGTGAGACCCCCCCCCAAGGAAATGGTGGGCTTTTTAAAAAAACCAAAATAAAAGAATCGGGGGGGTATGGTTTTTAACGACGGGGCCCCCTCGCCAAACCCTTTGTCCCCTTGTTTTACTGGGTTTGGGGGGGATAGCCTGTAAAAAGAGGGGCTTTTACATGCGCCAAATAAAAAGGTTATGGGGCCCTTGCATGCCCAACCCCCACCCCCAGAGGACTCCCAAAAAGGCTCCAACCTCCTAGTGGTAACCGTGCTTTCCCTTTCAAAAAAATTGGACCCCCCTTTCCCTTTTTAAAAACCTCCAACTCTTAGAGCTTAAAATTTTCCCCGTGACAAAAAAACCAAAACCCAAAATAGACCCCAACAGCAGACAGTCGGGTTAAAAAATAGGTTTCCCAAAACACCCGGGTGAACGGTAGGCCCCCATCCCCTCACAAAAAAAAAAAAAAAAAAAAAAAAACCCCACAAGGGGATAACAAAAAAGTTTCTTTGGGAAGGGGGTTTCCACAAGTAACCCAACACATCCTAACCCCAATTTTAAATTATAATTATATTATTTTTATTATAATCAAAAAAAAAAGCGATAAGCCCAAGGGCTTTTACAGGCTGCAGGTAGGGAAGGGAAACGAGGGTTTTTTGGATGGCAAAAGGGGAGGGGGGGTTATCAGCAGGTTACAGAAAACAGCGGGGGAGGGGATAGTTCGGGGGTAAGGGTTTGCAAGAGATTGAAAATGAAAGGGCCCGAAGGTATCGAAATTTTTGAAATAAGTCAGGGGGGGTTTTCAAAAAGTCAAAAGAGAGAGTCCGGATGAAAGGGGGGTCCATCAGCCCGGAAGGGAAGGTAAAGAGAGAGCAGTGGGGCGAAAACGACGGCAGAGGTAAATTCTGCGTGCTTTGTTGATAAAAATGGGAGTTCCCCAAAAAAATTTGGGGGTGGGGCTGATAATGGAGCTTTGCAATTCTCACAGAGAGGAGCAAGACGCCTCCCAGGGGGATATCCATGAGTAAACGAGTTTGGGCCCAAAGCGAAAACGGGAGAGAATAGTCTCCCAAACCCCGACACTGGTGATAAAAGGGAAAAGGGCGGGCCCGTAACCTTACTCGGGGTTTTAAAGATTTTAAGTTTGTTGCCGGGGAAAAGTAGAAACCCAAAGTTGTTGCCAAAAAGGGTGTGAAGGTGGGAAGTATTGCAAACAAAAAATCCGTAAATGGAAAAAAACCCCTATAAGAAATGGTATGTCATGTACTGTGACCCGGGCAGCAGTGTCTTTCCTGTTCATTGGCCCCTTTTCGGGAACATGACCAGGGACCAACAAAAACCCAATAACCTTTTTGCTTGGGAAAAAATTTTCGGCGTAGCCAAAGTTGGATACGGAGGGGGCTAAGGGGGGAGGGGTTTTCAAATTTTTGTTATGCCCTTTTAAAACACTAAGGGAGTCTGAGACAACCCCAAATGATGACACAGGAAAAAGATCAAAACGGAAAAAGTTCTGAAAGGATGGGAAATAATTCAGCATTAAAAAAAATTAGCCGAAAATATAAAAAGCCCTTGTAAGGACGCTGCCCCGGGAAACACTGTGGGGAAAAGCTACGCCGTCAGGAAAACTTAGAGCCTCTGTGTACACAGGAATGGATGAAAATGAGATTTAAAGTGGGCAAGAAAAAAAGAGCGGGAAGCGGCCCCTAGGGCAGGGTTTTTTTTTTCATTAGGTGACACCCAATCAGTACACACAATTCTAGCAGCCATCCCCCACTTATAACTCCACCAGTGTTTCATGGGGGTTCTCTACTAGTGACTCAACTGCTTCACAAGTGTTGTCATGGTCAGAGTATCACGGCACCTCTGTTCATCAGAATCCCTATGCATTTTGGGGTCACCGTCTACTCAGTGTGTCAAGAGGCACGTCGACCTGTGACCCCCCCCTCATCAAAAAAAGGCTCAGTGTTCAAAACCATGATTCTGAGCTACATGCCCAGAACATTGGCAAGGCACCATTCTTAACTACATATTGTGTACATATTAGCTATGAATCACTAATTATTTATATATTTAAGTTTTCATTTCTTTGTTTCAAGTAGGATTAATTTCACATTTAAGTGTTTAATATTTACTAATTTTTTTAAAATAATAAAATTTTTGTGTTATGTTATCATTAATTTTTCTATCTTTTAATTTCCTTAAGGTGGAACCAGCATTATCAAATACTCAATGAGGGTCTGATAGGGATGCAAAACCTTCACAGGAAAGGCTGGGTAGGGGTCAGCCTAGGAAAGATGTGGGAGGGGCTTGGACTTCCAGCAAGCATGCGTGAGTGTGGTAGATGGGAGTGAATGGAGACAAACTGTTCTTAGGACTTGATGTGCTGTTGGAGTGGGAGCAAAGTAACATTTATGAATGGATTCAGGGAAACCAGCAGGCCGGACTTGAGCCCTGGAGATGGGAAGTACAGTACATGCATTCTGAAGGAAGGGTATTAATGTTGCAGTTTTATAACTCCAGTGTAGGTGCAAATCTGGCAAGACAGTGATGGAGTAAATGATAACTAAAGGTTTTCTTTTATGAGCCACCCTACCTTTGTGGGAAATGGCCAATGTGTTAATAATAATTTTTTATTTTTTATTCTCATGTGTCCATAACTAAAATAACCCTGATACATTAAACACTAACATGTTTTATCTCCTGTATGTACTCGCATATGTTTCACAAGATTGCCTTTTTCAGTAAAACATTTCAGACACTCTGAACACTGAAAAGGTTTTTTTCCTGTGTGTATTTGCATATGTGCCACAAGTGTGTTTCTGACTAAAACATTTCAGACACTCTGAACAGTGAAATGGTTTATCTCCTGTGTGTAGTTTCATATGTCTCACAAGACTGCCTTTTATAGTAAAACATTTCAGACACTCTGAACACTGAAATGGTTTATGTCCTGTATGTTTGTGCATATGTGCTGCAAGACTGCATTTTTCAGTAAAACATATCAAACACTGTGAACACTGAAATGGTTTATCTCCTGTGTGTATTCGCATATGTTTCACAAGACTGTTTTTCATACTGAAACATTTCAGACACTGTGAACACTGAAATGGTTTATCTCCTGTGTGTATTCGCAAATGTGTCACAAGATTGCATTTTACACTAAAACATTTCAGACACTCTGAACACTGAAATGGTTTTTCTCCCGTGTGTACTTGCATGTGTGTCACAAGATGGTTTTTTACAGTAAAACATTTCAGACACTCTGAACACTGAAATGGTTTATCTCCTGCGTGTATTTGCATATGTTTCAAAAGATTGCCCTTTTGACTAAAACATTTCAGACACTCTGAACAAGGAAATGGTTTATATCCCGTATGTACTCGCGTATGTTTCAGAAGACTACCTTTTTCAGTAAAACATTTCAGACATTCTGAACACTGAAATGGTCTTTCTCCTGTGTGTACTCGCATATGGTTCACAAGATCTCTTTTCACACTAAAACATTTAAGACACTCTGAACAATGAAATGGTTTTTCTCCTGTATGTACTCGCATATGTTCAACAAGATTGCCTTTCCGAATGAAACATTTCAGACACTCTGAACACTGAAATGGTTTATCTCCAGTGTGTGTTTGCATATGTTGAACAAGACTGCTTTTCTGAGTAAAATGTTTCAGACACTCTGAACACTGATATGGTTTTTCTCCTGTGTGTACTCGCATATGTTCAACAAGATTCCTTTTTGCACTAAAACATTTCAGACACTCTGAACACTGATATGGTTTATCTCCAGTGTGTGTTTGCATATGTTGAACAAGACTGCTTTTCTGAGTAAAATGTTTCAGACACTCTGAACACTGATATGGTTTTTCTCCTGTGTGTACTCGCATATGTTCAACAAGATTCCTTTTTGCATTAAAACATTTCAGACACTCTGAACACTGATATGGTTTATCTCCAGTGTGTGTTTGCATATGTTGAACAAGACTGCTTTTCTGAGTAAAATGTTTCAGACACTCTGAACACTGATATGGTTTTTCTCCTGTGTGTACTCGCATATGTGTTACAAGATTCCTTTTTGCACTAAAACATTTCAGACACTCTGAACACTGATATGATTTATTTCCTTTATGTTTTTTCATATTTTCAAGAGAAGGTATTTTATTTTAAAATACTTTTGTTATTCAACAGAGGTATTATTAATGTTTCTTATGTACTCTCATGCATATTTTAAGATTTACTTTTTAAGCTATTTTGGACATTGAAGACACAGTTTTTCTCATGAATATATTACCAAGGTTACAAAACTATTTCTACTTATGAGCTCTAATTAAGTTAATTTCTTAAAGGATTGCAGTGATTTTTTTTGGGAGGGGGGGTTAGTAAAAAACTAATGTATGTATTAGAACTCTGCAGATACACTGAAGAACATTTTTTATTATTTCTTAAGAAGTTTAAATATAAATTTTCTTAAAATTCTTAACTACAGCATTACTTACTTGTATTTTTCTTTGAACTGCTTTGTAATTTTTAGATTGAATTCTATTTAGGAAAACAATTTTTTTATAATACCTGGCCAATTAAAAATTCATCAGAAACACAAGTGATGCTCTTCTTCTAATACTGAAGGTATAGTGTCCATTTAGGTACAACCTGGAAGTGTTCCAGAAAATACTTCTGCAATATCAGTTGTTGTACAAAACAGATGTTTGTTGATGTACTGGAGATATAATGTCTAGGAAGATACAACCTGGAAGTGTTCCAGAAAATACTTCTGCAGTATCAGTTGTTGTACAAAACAGATGTTTGTTGATGTACTGGAGATTTTAATGTTAGGAAGATACAACCTGGAAGTGTTCCAGAAAATACTTCTGCAGTATCAGTTGTTGTACAAAACAGATGTTTGTTGATGTACTGGAGATATAATGTCTAGGAAGATACAACCTGGCAGTGTTCCAGGGAAAAAACTTTTGCAGTATCAGTTGTTGTACAAAACAGATGTTTGTTGTGTATGGAGATATAAGTCTAGGAGATAAAATGGTGTTTTCCCAGAAAATACTTCTCAGTATCAGTTGTTGTACAAAACAATGTTTGTTGATGTACTGGGATTAATGTTAGGAAGATAAACCTGGTAGTAGTTTTCCCACAAAATACTTCTGTAACAGAAACATGAGTCATATATACAAATTTTTCCCCATACCAACCAACATATTGAACTAGAAAATGAAAATTTGTTTGTTTATTATAAGTTTCAAAAAATAAAATTGCCCTTAAAATTTTAAAAGGGAAAAAGAAGAAAAGAAGTTTTCAGGATGATATATAGAGAAATCTCAGATTCAAATTAAATTTAAATTCCCAAAAGGGTTTGTTCCGTGCCAAAATTTGTTCAGTTTTTGAACAATTCTTTCCAACCCAATTTTTTCTTTTTGGTTGCTGTTATCTCTAATCTTTGTAGGTCTTGGTGACTTTTATACAAATAATATAAATTATTTTTATAATAAAATTCAGGCTAAACCGAAAAGGGTCATCAGGGCTGAGGGGCAGAAATATTGTGGGGCTTAAAAGTGGTGGAGAGGGGATCAAAAGGAGGGAGATGAGGCTTGAAGGGACATAGAGGCTTGCGTCAAAGTTCTATAGTAAAGAGTGCTGACAAAAAGTAAAAAAAATAAGAAATCAAAGGCGGGCCTCTGCAAGAAAGGAAGATAAGAAAGAGCGTAAGGCAGCAGTGGGGGTGGGGGTAAATTCTGTAAGCTATGGAAAATGAATTTTTAAAACCCAAGGAGCCCCAAAGGGCCCTTTTTCCTGGGGTAAAGGGGCAAAATAAACACAGCGAAAAATTTTTTGACTTTATTACCCTTAATTTTAAAACGAAGTTTGTACTTATAACACTATGACAACAATGGGTTTTTGTGGACCCACGGTAAGCAAGGCAGATAGAAGCACGAGAGAGCGAGCACTTCACCAGAATAAAATGGGAATGACAGGGCGGGGACTTGGGGAAATGGTCCCCACAAAACTCTGCGTTTTCCCAAACCATTTCTCATTGGCTGGAACTGGGTAGGGTTGATATTATTATAATAAAAAAAGAAGCGCTAACCCACAAGAGTTACAGCGCTGGGGTGGGAAGGAAGAAAGGGGAAAATTGGATGGCAGAAGGGGGGGGGTAAAACAGCAGGTTCAGAAACAGCAAAAGCAGGGGATGTACGGGGGTAGAGGGGTAGAAAAGAGTTTAAAGTAAAAAGGGCCCTAAAGTATCAGAATTGTGAAGAAAGTCAGTCGTTGTCAAAAAGTCAATGAGAGAGTTGGATGAAAGGGGGGCCCTTTAGCGAGAAGGAAGGAAAAAAGGGGAGAGAAAGGGGAGAAAAGTGAGCAGAGGAAAATTTGCGTGCCGTTGAAAAAGGGGCAGTCCAACAGAATGTGGCTGATGATAATGGGTTGGGCAATTTCCAGAGAGGAGCAAGCGCCTCTCCATGAATATCCATGAGTAAGTGAGATGGCCAATGCAAAGAAGGGAGAGTAGCCCCCCCAAACCCTCGCATGGTGTAGAGAGGGAAGAAACCTAACTGGTTTAATAGATAAAGTTTGTTGCCGAGCAAGTGCCCAAAATGTTTTTCCCAAAAGGGGTGTAAAGGTGGGAAGATATTACGCAAAATAGCCCGTAAATGGAATACCTCTATAAAAAAATGGTAGGTCATGTATGCTGACGCGCAGAGTGTCTGCCTGTTCTTTCCCCTGTACGTCAAAGCAGGGACCCAACAAAAAACAATATCTTTGCTTGGTAAAGATGGGGCGTAGCAAAGTTGGATACGGAGGACTAAGGGGGTGGGGTGTATCAAATTTTTCTATGCCTGTAAACACTAAGGGGTCTGAGCAACCACAAAAGTGACAAGGCTAGATGCAATCGGTTTAAATGCTGTAAGGGTGGCTATAATTCCAGTAAAAATACTATCGAAGATAGAAAATTTTCCCCTTTTACGACGCTGTCCCGGGAAACCTGTGCGAATCCTAAACCGTCAGAAAATTTGAGCCCTCTGTGACACAGCAATGGCTGGAATGAGAGTGAAAAGGTCAAGGAAAAAAAGAGGGGAAGGCCATAGCAGTTGGGCTTTCGGCAAAGGGGGGGAGAAAGAACAGACTCGAACAGCTGGAAATTTCCCCGGGGGGTGGGGAAAAGGGGGTGCTAAATTTTACATAGAAAGGTGGGAGTTGAAAAGAAGACAAGACGAATGAAGGGAAGAGAGAAGGGATGGAGTAAACAGGGGCGGCAAACAAATAAAGAATGTCTACTAATTCAGTGACCTTTATAAGGAAAAGGGTTGGGAGTCATTTAGGGTACATAGAGCGCAGGCAATGGGATCAGGCGATGGATAAGGTGGGGAAGTTGTTCTGCATAGAGGCTTTCGCGGGGAAGAGCGAAAAGCACCAAGGCATAAACGAATCCTTTGGGGTGAATGGGGTTAAGGGTAGAGAGAGTGCAGGAGTGCCCCTGAATGATTGGTACATAATCAAGTTTCGATAAAATAAGGGAGGAATGAGTCGAAGGAGGGTTCGAGATAGTCCCCCCGAAAAAATGAGAAGGGGGTTTTAAGAAAGGGTTAGCCGGGTGGGACAAATTGCCTTCGAGAGGTAAAGTGGGTTTCCGGATAACCTCGACAAAGAGGGGGCCCCCGAAACTTGACTGATCCGTTCAGGGTACGGGAGCATAGAGGGACAAAAGGGTGATCGGAGTGACGAGGTCTAGTGAAAGTGATTTGGTGGGTTTTGTGTGGAAAATTTAAACCCCCCGTGTGGGGGCCCAATTGGAAACCGGGCGTGCATGTTGGGGGAGAAACTGTAAGGAGGTGACAGTCAGTGCTGACAGGCAAAAGGAAGTCATCAACTAGAGTGATGACCAAATTTTTGATGGAAGACTAGAGCAAAATCATTAAAAGCAAGGAGAAAAAATGTTGTGCTCAGAAAAAACATCCTGGGGGAACCTTTAGCTTGGAAAAAGTCCGGGGGGGGGGAGAATTATTTAAAGAACACGGAAATGCCTGCAGTTAAAAAAAATTTTTAAGGAAGGATGGTAGTTGCCCCGAAGGCCCAAGGGGTGGGCTTGGGGGAAAAAAATTATACCCCCAAGTTTTTGTCTATGCCTTTCTGGGCAAAAAATATGGCAATAACTGAGGGTTATTTGCAAAAGGGATTTTGAAATAGTATCCAAAGGTAGTAGGGGTCTTGGTAGAAAGTCCCTTTCGAAAGCCATATTGACGAGTGGGGAGACTGTTGTGGTCTCTAAATACCACATAAAATCTATTTACTGGCGTTTCCATTCTTTTCAAATGCATGGTAAAAGCAAAGGGCGATAGTGGGAGGGGTTTATGTCGTGTGCTGGTTTGGGAAAGGGGAAACAATTTCGGATTTCCACAGTGTGGAAGAACTCCTTTGGGGACCCAAATAAGATTGGGAAGGTGTAATAGGCTCAAGGGGTGCTGATGTAAATGTTGTGATACGAAAATGGGAAAGTCGTCGGGCCCCGCGCCGATGATCGACAAACTGAGAGTGTTGCTAGTTCTTTAAGTGTAAAACACATTTACTGTTCTTCTTGAGAGAAGAAAAGTTCAAGGGGGCTAACTCTCTGGAGATTTTTAGGAAAAAAATGAGGGGCTAGATGGGGGTCCCTGAGGAAAAAAAAGGCCAGTGATTGCCAATTTCATTGGGAACTTAGTGGGGTTTTCTATATCAACCCGGCAACCCGCAGAACAGGGCCGGGTAGGAGAATATTTACCACTCAGTTTTGTACTTTTTTCCCCGATGCCTCATAGAGGAACGGGTGATGGTGGGAGACATAATTCGCCGCAAGTGCGTTTGGTCACGGATGACCGGCGAGCGATCGCAGTTCGTTTAAATCAAGGGGGTCGCTCTGGGTTCTATTGTACCGGGGGACCCGCCCCCTGCAGCGGTTTCAAAGTACTGGACGAGCACAAAACGGGACACAAGGCAGATTTTGAGAATGTCTGCCCGGTTTGGGGTATTAAAAAATGAGAAGTGCGGTGAAAACGGAGGACGAGAAGAGGTGTAAAGCTATCGATGGGGCGAAGAAGGAACTCTTTAAAAACGTTGGGTGAGTAAAGTTCCAAAAAATTTGCCCCTTAAATGCCAGGTGGGGGGCGAAGAGGTGGGGGGAATTTTGAAGGGGGGTAAAAATGATTGGGAAATGTACTGTATGTGTCGGGAGAACAGGGGCCAGTGAAGTTAAGCGGCGGGGAAGAGAGATGAGGTCGATGCAAGAGAGGTATGGTCGAGGATCAAAAAGGGTGTGAGTCTGTATTTAAAAACATGGGGGGGTGGGTGGCAAAAAGCCCCTAACTGAATTCCCCGGGAATCACAGTGAGGCCCCCCCAGAGGAATGGTGGGGATTAAAATCACCCAATAAAAAGAATGGTGGGGTATGGTGAAGCGGGGCCCCATCGCAACCCCAGTCCCCTTTTTATGGTTGGGGGAGATAGCCCGTAAATGAGGGCGTTTTACATGCGCCAAAAAAGGTTATGTGCTCCTTGCATGCCCCACCCCCCCCCGAGAGGACCCCTTTTTGGCTCCAATCCCGTGGTAAAAGTGCTGCCCTTGCACAAAATAATTGGACCGCCTTTCCTTTCAACCATCCAAAATCTTAGAGCTTAACTTTTCTGTGCAAAAAAAACCAACCCTAAATCAGAGGAGACAGCAGACGTCGGGCTTAACTAGGTCCAAAAAACGGGTGACGGTTTTGC